AACCCTATACAGGGTCACTATGGGTCAGAATTGACTCAATGGCACTTAACAACAACAACAACAATACCATACCTATACAGGGTCACTATGGGTCAGAATCGACTTGACGGCACTTAACAACAACAACATACCATACCAACAAAACAAAAACAAGCCCATTGCCATGGAGTCCATTCTGATTCATAATCCTAAGAGTAGAACTTCTCCCTAGATATCTGAGGCTGTAAATTGTTAAGGAAACACATACTGTTACATATATCTTTCTCCTGAAGAGCAGATGGTGGTTTTGAATTGCCAGCCTGTAGATTAATAACATAATTCTTAACCCAGTGTGCCATCAGGGATCTTTTCTGTAATGTTATTGTCAGGTGCCATATAGAGACCCTACACACAACAGAATGAAACACTGCCCAGTCCCACACCATCCTTATAATTGTTGTTTGAGTTCATTATTGCTGAGGCAGGCAGGCCTGTGGAAATAGGTGCTGGCCACCCATAGACCCCAGGCTCATAGCTCATTCCTGGAGCAAGATTCACATTTCAGGAAATAAGCAACAGACCACCTCAGCCCCGTGTGAATACCCAGGCTAATCTCCTATTCCTGACCCACCTCTGGGAGGGGACAGAGCCCCGAACTATTGTTCACTTTCTTTTGCGTCTGTAACTGCTTGTTTGTGTGCTCATACATCCTTTCCCGCAGTATGTTTGAATCAACCAATCCCAGGTAGTCCCGTGAAGTTGTTGCTTGTTGCTAACCAATCCCAAATGAACTCATGTGTGTACCCTCTATTCCCTATAAAATATCCTCACAGAGAAGACTGGACTCAGCCTCTGGATACAACAAATCCACTGAGCCAAGTGCTAGCACAAGAAAGCCCTTCCTTTGTTACAACCTGCATGGCGATGGCAACTCCTTCAGAAGGACTCTGACTCCAGTAACATTGCTACCACTGTCTCAATCCATCTTGTTGGAGGTCTTCCCTATTTTTTACTGACCCTCCAATTTTCAAGCATGATGTCCTTTTCCAGTGACTCATCCCTCTTAATAACATGTCCAAAGTAAGATAAATTAAGTCTTGCCATTCTTGCTACTAAGGAGCATTCTGGCTGTATTTCTTCCAAGAAAGATTTGCTCTTCTGGAAGTCCATGGTATCTTCAATATTTTCTCAACACCATAATTCAAATGCATAGATTGTTCTATGATCTTACTTGTTCATTATCCAACTTTCACGTATATTTGTTGTTGTAGTTACGTGTCATGATCTTACTTATTCATTATCCAACTTTCACATATATTTGTTGTTGTAGTTAAGTGCCACCGAGTCAGTCTGACTCATAGCAAGCTTATATAGGGTTTCTGATGAGAGGCTGATGAATTTGAAATGCCAACATTGTGGTTAGCCATCCAGTGTATATCCTATAGCACCACACTAAGACTCCCACTTGCATTTGCGGCGCTTAAAAATACCATGGCCTGGGTCAGGCACAATTTAGTTTTCAAACTGACATTTTTGCTCTTAAACATTTTAAAGAGGCTTTTTGCAGCAGATTTGCATACTATAATACACTTTTGATTTCTTGCCTGCTGCTTCCATGAGTATTGATTGTGGATGCAAGAAAATTGAAGTCTTTGACATGTCAATCTTTTTTCCATTTATTATGATTTTATAAACGGGTTCAGTTGTAAGGATTTTTGTTTACTTTGAGATGCAATCCATATTGAAGGCTATGGCCTTTGATGTTCATCACTACATATTTTAAGTCCTCATTGCTTTCAGCAAGCAATTTTGGATTTGCTTATGAGAGTAATGTGGCAGACTGCAAAGCCATTTGAACTGAAAGGTCAGTGCTTCAAGCTCACCAGCTGCTCCTCGGAAACTCTATACAGGGTCGCTATGGGTTGGAATCGATTCGACGGTACTTCACAACAACAATAAATGAGAGGTTATTAATGAGTCTTCCTCCAATTCTGATGCCAGATTCTTCATTTAATCCAGATTTTTAGATTAGTTGCTCAGCACACAGATTGAATCAGTATGTGTGCCATAATCCTGGCACACACCTTTCCTGATTTTAAACCATTCAGTGTACCCTTGTTTTGTTTGAACAACTGCCTTTTGGTCTAGGTACAGGTTCCTCATGAGCACAATTTAAATGATCTTGAATGCTCATTCTTTGCAATGTTATAATCCACAGAATGGATTTTACTTTCTGGTATTCTCTGCTTTCAGTCAAAATCCATCTGACATCTACAATAATTTCCTTCATTCCATATCCTCTTCTGAATCTGGCTTAAATTTCTGGCAGCTCCCTGATGATTTATTTCTGTGATTGATTTTAAATTATCTTCAGCAAAATTTTACTTGCATGTGATATTAATGATAATATTCTATGGTTTTCACATTCCATTAGGTCACCTTTCTTTGAAATGGGCACAAATATGCATCTCTTTCAATCAGTTAGCCAGGTAGCTGTCTTCCAATTTTTTTTATTATTATTATTGTGAATTGAGTGAAGGTTTACAGAGCAGATCATCAGTTTTACATTTAATAAATAATATACTTTGCTTCATTACATGACTGTAACCCCCTCCATATACCTATATATACTTAATTGCATTTGCCTCTATGCACTTTAACTATTTTATTCTTCTCTATGTTTCCTGCCACCTTCATCTTTCCTCTGCTAATCTCCCTTTTGCTGTATATTGCTTGCCCTGTCATCCATGTTAACATGTGTCTACCCTCTTGCCCATGAATAATGTTACCTTCCCCCACATGCACCCCCACATAACAATCATCGATCATTTCTTTTATCAATAAAGCCTTCCCCCCACACACACTTTTACAACATCAGTCTCATACAATGTTCGTCCCTTTATGATTGACTAATTTCATTAAGCATAATGTCTCCCATGTTCTACCATGTAATATAGATTCATCATTATTCTTCAATGCTTTGTAATCTTCCGTTGTGTGTATGCACCAAAGTTTGTTTAACCATTCCTCTGCTGATGGATATTTAAGCTGTCTCCATCTTTTTGATGTGTCTCTTGTAGACAGCACATTGAAGGATCATGTTCTCTTATCCATTCTTCTCTCTATGGCTCTTTACTTGTTCACTAAACCCACTTACATTCAATGTAGTTATCAATAAATATGAGTTGATTACTGTCATTTTCCTGTGTGTCTTTTTGTGATACTGCTGGTTTCTGTTACACATAATTTTCTGCTGTGAGCGTAATTTTTCTGTGGGTTTTCTCATCATTTCTGTTGTGTTAATGTTTACTAAACCTTTCTGATTTTCCTCTTTTTTATTTTGATGTGCAGGTGTATTATTTTTCCTTGAGTTTACCCTGTAAGTTATTGATTTTTTTCTTTAATTAAAATAGTCTGCTTTATCTTGATATCTACTTGGCTTATTTGTCATTTGCAAGTTCTATATCTACCCTTTTTCTCCTCTTTTTGCTTTGTACTTCACTTCATTATATATTGATATTGGTGGTTCCCTGTTTTCAGTCTTGTAGGTTTGTTTTACCTTAAATACTTTTATATCTGGATTGAAGTCTGGCTTATGTTACTGTGTGTGGTAATCTGAGGTTGTTGTCTGCTCTTGTTGGTTTTCATACCAAATAACACCTTAGTATTTTTTATAAAGATGGTCTGTCTGATCACTACAAATTCATTTAATTTCTGTTTATCAGGAAATGTTCTAATTTTGCTGCCATATATGGGTTACAGCTTTTCTGGACATATGATTCTTAGATGCCAAATTTTTCTTTCAGAGTTGTATATATTTCATTCCATCACCTTCTTGTCTGCATTGTTTCTACTAAGATATCAGTTTAGTCTTATCAATTCTTCTTTGTAAATAACAGTTATTAGCCTTCTGCTCTCATAAAGATTTACAGCCTCAGAAACTCAATTCAGGGTCGCTATGAGCTGGCACTGACTCTATGGCGTACAATCTCCAGTACAGGACTGAAAACTACACAGTCTGTGGTTCAAGTCTAGCAGCTCCTCTATGGAAGAAAGATGAGACTTTTTGCTCCCACGAAGATTTTTGTTGTTAAGTACCATCAAGTCTGTTCCAACTCACAGAGACACTGTATAGGCTTTCCGAGGAGTGGCTGGTAAACTTCAACAGTCGATCTTGCAGTTGAAACTGTCCTTGCAGTCCAACACCCCAACACCACACAAGAACTCTAGTTCACTATGAATCTAAACTTACTCAATGGCACTTAACAACAACAAAAGCATTTCTGTATTTGGCAACACAGTTTGTGTTCAACTACTTACTTAATGATTGGCAGTTTGAATCCATTCAACAACACCATGGAGATCTGCTTCCATTAAGATTACAGTCAACATTACTTGACAGAGTAGCAGTCCTAGTATTGGAGTAAAAAAAGAGTTCGACTCTTGTAACACGTTGTTGTTGTTAAGTGCTATTGAGTTGTTTTTGACTCAAAGTGACCCTGTATAGGATTTCCAAGGAGCAGCTGGTAAGCTTGAACCACCAGCCTTGTGGTTCAAAATGACTTTGCAGTCCAGCGCATTAGCCCACAGCACCACACCAGTAGTAGTTGGAGTTAATTCAACAACAGCTAACAACAACATTTAGCTTAATATTTAGTGACTATTCAGCATATATATATTGAAGAATAAGTGAAATTTAAAAGTTTTCTCCTTTTATTTCAGGTTTTCCATTTTTACTACTAACTGATGTTTAAAAGTGCACAAGTGAAAGAAATTTGCTATTTAGTATTTAACAGTTGTGTTTAGAGGCACATAGAACAACAAGAATGGGTAATTTTGTATTTTTAATTTTTATAGATTATAAAACTGATTCTGTAAATTATACAGATTTAATGAAATTAATATAACTTTACTCATATTATAACATCACCTTTCCAAATAATAATCAAATGATAGTTTCATTAAATAGGATTGATGCTTGAAAATAATCCATTTTTTTTCTCTCCTTTTTATGTTTAGAAAAATCTTCAATATTTTTAAAGATAATATCACAGTTCATTTTGGAGGAAATGCCAAAAGCTGAGTGAGTAGTAATAAGTCATAAATTTAAAAAATTGAAACATCATATTTTTTGTATATCTATTTGGTCTTAAAAGTATATTTTGTTTCTGAATATAGATCTTCAAATGTTGTTTGGTGATGGTGCAAACAAGTTTTCTCTTGCTTTGTTTGTCCATGGCTATCCATGTACATACTGCCTTATAAAAGAATGAGATTGATGAAGTCGAAAGGGAAAGTAGTATGTCCTATATTCAGAATAAGTCCCTGGGAAGTGAAAATGGTTCACATGCTCAGTGCTAACTGAAAGTGTGAAGATTTAAGTCTTCAGAAATGCCTAGAAAGAAAGACCTGGTGATCTACTTTTGAAAAGTCAGTCATTTAAACCCTAAAGAACACAGTTCCACTCTGAAACATATGTGTTTGTCATAAGTTGGAATCAACTCATGGGAACTGGTTTCTGACTTATTATTCAGAAGACATATATTGAAGATATTCCTAACTATAATCCAAATTCTGCCATGGCCCTTCATAATTTGTTCAGTTTCTCAGAGCCTAATTTTACTTCTCTATAAAATGGCAATTAACTTACTTTCTTCCCATAAAGGATAGCTGTGTGTATAAATGCAAACAGTCTTTGCATAAAGTCACCCATAAGCTTATTATTTAACAAATCAGTTATCAATCATAATAATGGTAGAATAATGATAATATTGTTCCTTTTATTATTTATTCAATATATGATTTTTCTTTCATTTTAGATATTCCAGTTTATTCAATGATTTTGTCGAATCTGAGTTTTTTCTCATTGATGGAGATTCATTCCTTAGCACATGCCTATGTGAGAAATCATTAACCCCTGGGCAGAATCTCCATTTCTTCTATCTGGTTGAACGCTATCTTGTGGATCTTATGAATAAAGGAGGACATTTTGCGATCATTTTCTTCAAGGTAACTTGTAACAGTGCAGAGTTGAATTCTTTCCTTAAATATAAAAACTAAAGCTAAAATCCACCAAATTATTAGAAACAGTTTTCTTATTACAGAATAAAGTATATGTATAAAAATCTAGAGATTTTAAAGCAATTATTAAACAATGATTACTCAAAATCTTAGTATTTAGCAATCATCACAATTAAGATTATTTTATTTTCATAATGATGGAATTATAGTGTGACAGCATACAGCATAAAGAACCTTGGAACAGCACCCTAATTCATCTTTGGATTCTAGTCTTACAACTCTGAGAATTACTTTTATCTTAGAAAATTCAAAAGTTAATTTCCCAGAACCTCCAAAAATGGCAGATTCACTAACCTGTTTCACTACTGTATTCTATATAGTGAATATCTATTAGAGAATACTTTATCTTTTTTTTTTTTCTTTTTAAACTTTTAACATTTCAATAACATTTTAACCATTCAACCACAATATCTGTGTCTAAATAGTTAAAATTTGAGAAATATATATCATTAAATATATGAAGGCTTCAATAAGTTCATGGAAAACAAATCCATTATCTTTTAATTACATTTTTCTATAAATTTTTGAATCCTTGTCTTCTTTGTGTGTATATGTGTACTTATGTATATATATATGTTGTTATTGTTAAGTGCTGTCGAGTCCTGAGTCATAATGACCCTGTGTAGGGTTTCAGAAGAGAAAACCTGTAGGTTGGAAACACTGATCTTGTTTACAGTCCAGTGCTTATCCTACAGCACCAAACCAGGAGTCCATAACATACACACATATATAAACACATACACATGTATGAGACTTCAAGGAATTAGCTCGTAGATGTGTGGGGGAATGGAAATCCAAAATCTGTAAGCCAGACTATGTATTACTACAGGCTTGTATCTCAGGATCTGTTAAGTCAAGTGTTAGGAAAAGTATGGAGTGAAAATAACAAGCAGAGTTCTGCCAAATTATGTATTTATTGTTTGGAAGCAGAACACATGTTAAGGAAACTCTTTTCAACTGATTTATTACAGTAGATTACATTGTAGAAAGTAATTACATTGCTGTTGCTGTTGTAAAATGTCATTGAGTCAGTTCCAACTCATAGAAAAACCATGCACAACAGAACTTAACACTGTCCAGTCCTGTGTCATCCTTACAATTGTTATGTTTGAACCCATTGCTGCTGCTACATTGTCAGTCCTTGGGGGTCTTCTTCTTTTTCGCTGATCTTCCATTTTTACGAAGCATGAAGTATTTTTCCAGGTATTAGTCCCTCCTCATAACATGTCTGAAGTATGAGAGACCAAGTCTCATCATCCTGGCTTCTGATGTGCATTTTGGCAGTACTTCTTCCAAAATAGATTTGTTTGTTTGTTTTAGCAGTCCATGATACTTTTAATATTCTTCTCCAACACCATAATTGAAATGCAACAATTATTATAAGGGCTTCCTTAGTCATTGTCCAAGTTTCTCATGCATATGAAGCAATTGATAACACCATGTCTTGGGTCAGGTGCCCTTTAGTTAGCAAACTGCTATCTTTACTCTTTAACACATAAAGAAGTCTTTGCAACAGATTTGATTTCTAATGCAATTCATTGTTTGATTTCTTTCCTGCTGCTTCCAAGTGTTAATGCTGGATCCAAGTCAAATGAAATCTTTGAGAACTCCAAATTTACCTTAATTATTCATAAAGTTATTTACTAGTTGAATTGTGAGGATTTTTGTTTCCTTTATAATAAGATGTAATACATATAGAAGGCTGAAGTCTTTGATCTTCATCAGTAAGTATTTTAAGTGCTCCTTCCTTCCAGCAAGCATATTACAGGTTGGTAATGAGTCTTCCTCCAATCCTGATGCCACATTGTTCTTCTGGTAGTCCAGCTTCCCAGGTTATCTGCTCAGCATACAGATGAATTAAATATAGTGAAAGAATACAACCCTGGCAGATACCTTTATTGATTTTAAACCTAGTATCCCCTAGTTATGTGTGAGCAACTACCTCTTGATCTGTGTACAGGTTTCTCATATCACAACTAAGTGTTCTGGAATACTCATTATTTGCAATGTTATCCATAGCTTGTCATGATTCATACAGTCTAAAGCCTTTGCAAAGTTAATAAAGCACTGGTAAATGTCTTTCTGGTATTCTCTGCTTTTAGCCAAGATCCATCATGTCCACTTCTGTGTTGGACTTAAATCTCTGGCAGTTTCTTATTGATGTACTGTAGTAGCTGTTTTTTAAATTATCTTTAGCAAAATTTTACTTGTATGTTATATTAATAATATTGTTCAATGATATTTGCATTCCATGGGGTCACTTCTCTTTGGAATGGGCACAAGTATGGATCTCTTTCAATCCGTTGACCAGATGGCTGTCTTCCACAGTTTTGGCATACATTAGTGATCACTTCCAGTGTTGCATCCGTCTGTTGAAAGAGTTCAATTTGCATTCCATCAAGTCCTAAAGCTTTTAAATTTATTATTATTATTATATTTACCAATGTCTTCAGTGCTGTTTGGACTTCTTCCCTCAGTACCGTTGGTTCTTGATTATATACTACCTCTTGAAATGGTTGGACATCGATCTTTTCTTTTTGGTGAAGTGACTGTTTATTCCTTCCATCTCCTTTTTTTTTTTCCTTAAATGTTTTATTGTGAATTATGTGATAGTTTACATGGGAGAACATTAATTTTACATTCGTTCTATCGTATATCATCTCATTGCCATGCTTACAATCCCCTCCATGCATCATCAACCAACCAAAGGGTATATCCTGCAATCCTGCCCCCTATACTCCCCAGGTCTTCAGCACACAATCTCTCTCCCTCTCTGGATCTAAAGTCTGCAGCTGCTCTATGGCTCCACGACATCATCTCTGCCTCCTTTTCAGGCATCACTGCTTCTCTGGGTAGGGTCCCCCTCTCCGCTTTTCTCCCTTGATGGTCCTAGAAAACTCCACTCCTAGACTGAAAAGTTAATCACTCCCCTCCTTGCTATAAAACGTCTACCTTTACATTTCCAACCCTCACAATCAGTCCTGATAACAATTATTCACTGTTGTATCACAAGAGACCCATCTGCATTTCATTGCATCAGCCCCACCTAGACAGATTGGATATTACTCACTTGAGTTTCTACCTTCCTCCAAGCCCTTTGGATCTAGGTTCCCTCTTGTAAGCCAGTCACTTCTTGCCTTTGCAGCCCCTCCATTTTGGGTAGCCAATGTCCAAGTTGCCTGTTCCTGTCTACTCTGTGTGTGGAGGGGGTGGAAATGATTCTTGCTGTAAGGATTTATTCTCTCTTTTGAGCTACTGCTTCCATAGGTGTAGGTCAAGTTCATCAAATTGTATGAGCATACTTTGATGCTTTCTGCATCATTCAGTGTTTTGCCTGTGGAGTCTTTCAGTATTGAAAGGTGAGGCTTGAATGATTTTCTTCAGTTCTTTCAGCTTGAGAATTGATAAGAGTGTTCTTCCCTTTTGATTCTCTAACTCCAGGTCTTTGCACAGTTGATTATAATACTTGACTTTGTCTTCCCAAGGTGCTCTTTGGAATTTTCTGTTCAGCTCTTTTACTTTCTTATTTTTTTTTCTTTTGTATCTTTTAAATGAACCTTTGTTTTCTTCCTGTATGATGTTCTTGATGTCATCCCATAGCTCTCGGGTCTTTGGTCATTAGTATCTAGTGCATCAAATCCATTCTTGAAATGGTCTTTAAATTCAGGTTGAATATATTCTAGGTCATATTTGTCTCTCTTGAATTTACATTCATTTTCAGCGTGAACTTGATATGAGCAATTGATGTCCTGTTCCACATTCTGCCTCTGGCCTTGTTCTGACTGATGGTGTTGAACTTTTCTACCTTCTCTTCGCACAAATTTAGTCAATTTCATTCAGTATATTGCATCTGGTGAGATCTAGGTGTTGCTTAAAAAAAAGATATTTGCAATGCATAATTCATTGGTCTTAAAAAATTCTAGCATGTAATCTCCATCCAGTATCATCTTTTTTATGATGAATGCAATGTCATTTCTTTTGAATTCTAATTTCCAGCCTAGTAAACAATATGATTTTGTCTAATTCAAAATGTCCAATACACATCATAAGGTTTTTAGTTGGTAAACAGTCAGAAGTAGCCTGTCTCTCCTTCTTCCTAGTCTGGAAACTCCACAGATACCCGCCTACCATGGGTGACCCTGCTTATATTTCAAATACTGGTCATCAAAGTACCATGCAAGCTTCTACAGTATATCAAACAGACAGAGAAGCAGTGGGGTAATTACTTAATATTGTATAACTAAAGCTAGACTAAGGAGCTCTGGTAGCGTAGTGGTTACGAATCAGGCTGTGAACTGCAAGGTCAGCAGTTCGAAACTACCAGCTGTTCCGCGGGAGAAAGATTGGAAACCCTGTACAGCTTCGCTATGAGTCGGAACCTATTCCACGGCACATAACAACAACAACAACAGTTAGACTAGTAGGGTTAATGGTGGTAGTATGTGGTGGTAGTGTGCCGTGGAGTCAATTCCGACTCATAGCGACCTTCTATAGGGTTTCTGAGGCTGTAAATATTTACAGGAGCAGAAAGCCTCATCTTTCTCCCGTGGAAGTGCTGCTAGCTTCAAACTGCTTGAGGTTAGTAGCCTGACTCATAACCACTACACAGCTAGACTACTTACTATTGGACAAACCCATGGTTATCATAGACTAACCAACTTTACACATACAATTAACCAACATAGATATGTGTAACCCTTACCATACCTTCCCCATCCTATCATCACTAAATGTAACCAACGTATTACTCTTAAGAATTTTGGTGTGTCTCTTTTCAATCACTTTGCAATCCAATTTTTTTTTTTTTTTTAACATGATTGCTGGTTATAAGCACTGTTCTAAGAAAAGAACCAGGGTACTGATCTAGTTAAATTAATTATACATTTTGGTCTGCTAAGAAAACCTGTACTATTTAAGAAGAGGCACAGTACCTGCAACAATCCTCCTATTTAAAAGATCCACCTGAGCTTCCTGCTCCAGAAAATTTATAGCCACTTATGTAACTTTAGATTTTTTTTTTTTTTTAACCAGAAATTGGAGAGGAAAACAAGTGAAGTGTAGGCAAAGAAAGTGTGATGATGAGCTCTCAATACTTTGTGTCTACTTTAAGAAGCAAATGTGTTCACATTCAAACTGGTTTATGGCATACATTTGTTGAAATGACAGTTAAGGTTTAAGGGTCTTTTTCATGACTAATAGAATAAAACTGGGTTGGATCTTATTTCTTTAGTGCCTTTAATGATATATATGTGTTAATCAACAAAAGTAATAAACTATTAAATGATAATTTCAGATAATGTATCCTCTTCTACCCTATAGGATGCTGAGTACGCTTATATCGATTTTCCTGAACTTCTTCCTTTGAGAAGTGCTTTAATTCTTCATCTTCAACATAATACTACCATTGATGTTCGAACTGAATTTTCAGGATGCTTATCTCAGGAGTGGAAACGTTTTTTGCAAGAGAGTTGCCCATATTTCCTGATAGTTTCAGACGAAGGCCTGAGTGATGTGCAGACATATCTTTTCAAGTTTTTGATCATACATTCTTGGGCAATGAAGGTCAATGTTGTACTTACTTCTGGACAATCACGGGATATTCTCCGACTTTATGCATACCTTATGCCAAGCAAGAATAGAAACCAGATATTTTTCAAGAAGGTAATTATCTCAAAATCAATTATCTCCTGGGTTTTGTAAATTTTTCTAAATAATGACTAGATTTTCTTTCTTCTATGAAATTTAGATCTTTCAGATAAATTAAAGTAATGTTAATTACAAAGTAGCAAGTCATTAAGCACTATTGTTATAAAAGTTGTTGTTAAGTGTCCTTGAGTAGGTTCTGACTCATAGTTTGCAAGGAGAGGCTGGTGGATTTGAGCCATCAATCTTGTGGTTAGCAGTCCATTGCTTAGTCTATAGAGCCACATCATGACTCCATTATAAAAGTAGTCCTTGATATTTCCCATGAATTATGTTGCTTAACCCCTTTTTATCAGTCATCTAAAATATTAGTATGATCTGGTTTACCCATGAGGAAATGAGTAATTATCTAAGTATTTACTTCTGATCACTAAGAAATAGACAGTTTATTTTAAAAGTGGGCATCTGGCTCCAGTCCTTTTGTGCTAAATTGCTATGCATATATTGCTTCTAATCTAGTAAAGGCCAGCAATGCATTGTGCTGGAGGCAGAAGTTATGTCTCTGTTGCTTAGACACAATGATGAAATAATGATTAATATGGTGAGCTTAATGGTAAACAATGAATACTAATGAAGAAAATTAATGAGATAATTTTATTTTTCAATAAAAATGATATTCTGGAGAATTTTCAAAGTATTTAGAATTTTAGTTCTGTCATAACAGTTTCCTATGACTTGGGAGTAAATCATTCATGCTGACTTTGTAAGTAAGTTAATTTTTGTTTTGATTTTCAAAATTGGTAAATTCTGAATATTAAAATAGTTTATGTATAAAAATAATTTTGCACCAGTTATAATGTGTAGCCTTTGAGAATTATGTGACAATACTCAGTGTTAGGAAACATCCAGATGGTTGTCATGAAATGTGAAAAATGGTTGGTTGTTTTGATTGCACTCTTATCATTAAACCATTTCCATCTTGGTTGCTTACTGTGAACAGGAACAGTCTTAGGATTCATTTTTATACTGAGAGGAAATATCTTCTAGTCTCTTAGAGCAGTCCTTGAATCTGAGTTTAAAGAGTGCTTTACATACATTCTGCTCAATCTAGTCAAGAAAAATTTTCTTAAATTGAAAACTTAATTTTTGTAAAATAAACTGTTTCCTAATTTATTGACTACTACCCTTAAATAAGTTATTACATTAATCAGATTGAATATGTGAAACATAATTAAAATATATTGTATATTGATAATGGCTATTGCTGGATGATGGGTACCTGGAAAAGAGTTAAGTCATTCTTCATTTATATGCATGCTTAAAATTTTTCATAGTAAATGTATGATGTACTTATTGGGTATGATTTTCTTTATGGGATATTTGAAATGTAAAATTACACTGTACAATTTTGTTAATCTGTGTATAATCACTGATTTATACACTTAAAATGAATGAATTTTATGTTATATTAATTATTCCTCATGAAACTATTCAATTAGTAAATGCACTATATCCTTAGACAAAAACTAATTTGGCAAAGAGAAAACAGTTCCTTTTAGCAGGCCTTAAAAATATTGCTGACTCTGTGCAAATTATATTGCATATACCAAGAGGGCTTCAAAAGGTTCAAGGAAAAGTGGAATTAAAAGATAATGGAGCACCAGTCAAGAAACAGAGTAGAAGAATGGATAAGGAAACAGGACCCTTCAATATGCTGTCTACAAGAGATACATCTTACATCAAAGAAAAATATGGATTAAAAATTAAAGAATGGTAAAAATATGAGAAGCCAATGGTAATAAAAAATGAGCAGGAGTGGCAACATTAGTTTCTGATAAAACAGACCTTATTGCAAAAACCAGCATAAGAGACAAAAAAGACCATAATTGCATTGAAGGATTAATTGATTTAATAAAAGGATTAATAAATGTATGCTCCCAATGAAATAGCCTCAAAGTACATAAATCAAATGTTAATAGAACTGAGGAAAGAAATAGACAACGCTACAATAATAGTGGGAGATTTTGATGTACTGCTTTCTTAAAAGCATAGAACAACTAGAAAGAAACTCAGCAAAAACACAGAGGAACAACTTGGCCTCGTATTTATATAAAGCACGCAACCCAACAACAGCACAATGCACACTGTTTTCCAGTACACAAGGAATATTCTCTAGAATAGACCATATGCTAGGCCACAGAACAAGCCTCAATAAATTGAAAAGCATCATAATACTACAAGCCATCTTTTTAGATCATAATGCTCAAAAATAAAAAATCAACAATAAGAAAATCAAGAAACAACAGAAATACTTGGAAACTAAAAAATGCTCCTCTGAAGTTACTGGTTAATAGAACAAAGAAAATTTGAAATAAAAAAAAAAAGTCTTTGAATCAAATGAGAATGATAACACAGAATACCCAAACCTTTAGGAACAGCATAAGCAGTACTTTAGGAGGTCAATTATAGAACAAGCACATGCATCCAAAAACAAGAAAGAACCAAAAGCACAACAGCTCCAATAATGAGAAAAGACCAGCAAAATAAGCCTACAGTCATCAGAAAAAAAGGAATAAAGATTAGAACAGAAATAAATGAATTAGAAAGCAGAAAAACAATAGAATCAATAATACAAGGATTAATAAAATTGACAAACTGTTTTTAAAAGTTACAACAAAAAAGAGAAGATGCAAATAGCATGCATAGGAATTAGTGCTGGTGACGCCACAACAGAACTAACAAAAATAAAAAGAATAAAAACAGACTACTATGAAGAGTTGTACTCCAATACATTAGAAAATCTGTAAGAAATGGATAACTTTTTAGAAAAACACAACTTACCTAAACTAATATAGAATGAATTAGAAATCTTGAACAGATTTATAACAACAACAAAAAAAGAAATTGATCAGGTCATTAAAAAACTCACAACAAAGACCAGGCCCAGATGGCTTTACTGATAAATTATGCCAAATAGATTTTACTCAAACTGTTCTAGAACATGGGACTTCTTGTGTGGCACTATAGGATAAGCACTGGACTGTGAACCATGAGATTCGTGGTTCAAACCACCATCTATTCCTCAGAATTCCTGCACAAAGTCTGTATGAGTCAGAACTTACTCCACAGCACTTATCAATAACATTCCAGAACATAGAAAATGATGAAACACTCCCGAATACATTTTATAAAGTGAGCATACCATCATACCAAAACCAGGAAAGGACATCACTTAAAAAAAAAAAAAAAAAAAAAAACTTTAAATTACAGATCAATATCCTTCATGAATTTAGATGTGAAAATTCTCAACAAAATCCTAGCCAATATAAATTTACAAACATATTAAAAAAAAAAATCATGACCAAGTGTGATTCATATCAGGGATGCAAGGATGGTTTAATATTAGAAAAAATCAATACAATCCACCACATCAATAATAAGAGAGAAAAAAGCACCAGATGATTATATATTTGAGAAAGACATTTGACAGAATCCAGCATCGATTCTTCCACCAATCGTCCATCAGTTTGTCATAGTGTGGTGACTTCTGTATTGCTGTGGTTCTGGAAGCTATGCCACCAGTATTTTAAATTCTGGCAGGGTCACCCACTGTGGACAGGTTTCAGATGAGTTTCCTGATGAAGATAGACTAGGAAAAAGAGACAGACTACTTCCAAATATTTAGTCAGTGAAAACCATATGAATAGCAGTGGAACACTGTCAGCACCAGGTTATTGAATATTGAAACATAATGAAGAGCACCAGAATATTGTTAGATATAGTGCCGGAAGATGAGACCCTAAGATTGGAAGGCACTCGAAATGTGACTGAGGAAGAGCTGCCTCCTCAAAATAGAGTTGACTGTGATGATGCAAATGGAGTAAAGTCCTCATGACCTTCAATTACTGATGAGGTACAACTCAAAATGAAGAGAAGCAACTGTAAAAGTCCATTAATAATTGGAACATGGAATGTGTGAATCTAGGAAAATTGGAAATTGTCAAAAATTAAAAGAAACAAGCATCAATATCTTACGCGTTAGTGAACTGAAATGGACTGGTGTTGGTCATTTTGAATATGACAGTCATAGGATTTACTATGCTGGGATTAACAAATTGAAAAGGAATGGTGTCACATTCATCATCAAAAAAGCATATCAAGATCAATCATCTGTGGAAAGACAAAGTGGAAAAGCTCCATATCACCAGGCAAAACAAGTCTGTGGAACATACCATGCAAATTCAGGCTGAAGCTGAAGAAAATGGAAACAAGTCCACAAGAGGTAATATATGACCTTGAATATATCCCACCTAAATTCAGAGATCATCTGAAAAACAGATTTGATGCATTAGACACTAAAGATGGAAGAATAGAAGAGTTGTGGGGTGACATTAAGAACATCATAAAGAAGAAAGCAAAAGGTCATTGAGAACACAAGAAAGAAGTAAAAAGGAAAAATGTATGTCAGAATAGACTCTGAAACTTGCTATCCAGTGGAGAGATGCTAAAGCAAATGGAAGAAGTGAGGAGGTACAAGAGTTGAACAGAAAATTTCAAAGGTTAGCTCGAGAAGAAAGTCAAATACTATAATGCAATGTGTGAAGACCTGCAATTACAAAACCAAAAGGGAAGAACACGCTCAACATTTCTCAACTGAGGGAAATGAAGAAAAAAATGAAAACATCGACTTGCAGTATTGAAAGATGCTATGGGCAAAATACTGACTGAATGATGCAAAAAGCATCAAAAGAAGATGCAAGTATTTCATTACCAAAATGAAATGGTCAATATTTGAAGAAGTAGCACATGATCAAGAGCCAATGATCCTGAAGGAAGGAGTACAAGTTGCATTGAAGGCATTGGCAAAGAACAAGGCACCAGGAATTAACAAAATGCAAATTGAAATCTTTCAACAAAGTGATGAGGCACTGGAAGCACTCATTTTATCTATGCCAAAAAATTTGAAAGACCTGGCTAACTGACTGGAAGAGATCTGTATTTGTGCCCATGCCAATATCCCATGGTAGATAAGTTTTACTAAAGATAAGCATAACTGGCTGCAAACATACATTGACAGATAACTTCCAGAGGTTCAAGCTATATTCAGAAGAGGATATAGAATAAGGGATGTGAGTCCACGAGATCCATTGCTGACATCAGATGGATCTTGGCTGAAAGCAGAGAATACCAGAATTCTTACCTGTGCTTTATTGACTAGAAAAATACTTTCGATTGTGTGGATAATGACAGGCTATGGACAACATTGCTAAGAATGAGTATTAGGAACCTGTACATAGACGTAGAAGCAGTTGTTTGTACAGCATACAGGAATACTGAATGGCTTAAAATTAGGAAAGGTGTGTGCCGGGGGTTGTACTCTTTCACCGTATTTATTCAATCTGTATGTTTAACAAATTATCCGAGGAACTGGATTATATGAAGAAAAATGTGGCATCCGGATTGCAGGAAGACTCTTTAACAACCTGCGATATGCAGATAATACAACCTTACTTGCTGAAAGTGAAGAGGACTTAAAATACTTACTAATGAAGATCAAAGAACACAACTTTTGGTATGAATTGTATCTCAATGTAAAGAAAACAAAAATCCTCACCACTGGACCAGTAAATAACATCCAAATAAATGGAAAAAATGTTGAAGTGTCAAAGACAACTATCAACACTCATGGAAGCAGCAGTGAAAATATCAAATGGTGTATTGCATTGGGCACATCTGCTGCACAAGACCTCTTTAAAGTGTTAAAGAGCAAAGATGTCAGTTTGAGGACTAGGGTGTGCCTTATTCAAGTTATGGTATTTTCAATAACCTCACATGCATGTGAACAGTAGACAGTTAATTAGGAAGACCATGGAAGACTTGATACATTAGAGTTATGGTGTTAGAGGACAATATGAAGGTACCATGGACTGACAAAAGAACAATTTGATCTATGTCAGAAGAAGCCAGTGTGCTCCATGGAAGCCTGGATGGCCAGATTTCGTATCTCATACTTCATAAATATTATCAGGAGGGACCAGTTACTGGAGAAGGATATATCATGTTTGGCAAAGTAGAGGGTCAGAGAAAAAGGGAAGCCCCCAGCAAAATGGATTGGCATGCTGGCAGCAGCAATGGGTGCAAACATAATGATTGTGAGGTTGGCCCAGGACCAGGCAGTGTTTTGTTCTGTTGTGCACAGGGTCACTATGAGTTGGTACTGACTTGATGGCACCTAAAAACAACAACAACATCCGTTTTTTATAAAATCACTTAACAAAGTAGGAATAGAATGGATATTCCTCAACATAATTATGAGCATATTTACAAATCCAACAGCCAACATTACTTTCAATGGAGTGAAAGTGAAAGCATTCCCTTTTCAAACAAAAACCAGAGAAGGATGCCCTTCATCACAACTCCTATTCAATACTGTGTTGGAAGAATTTTCCACAGTCCTGTTGAGGTGTTGTGAATTAATACACTGGATTGCATGTTTCATTGGAACTCTAGTACAGTGGTTCAAGCTCACTAGCCACTCCTTGGATACCCTATACAGGGTTGTTATGACTTGGAAATGATTCGATGGCACTTAACAAAAACAACACAAGGCAAGAAAGGGAAATAATTAAAGGCATCCAAATTGACAAAGAAGAAGTAAAACTCTCTCTACTTGCTGATGATATGATCCTATACATAGAAAATTCCAAAAACTCAGCAAAACAATTACTGGAACTCATTGGGAGATTCATCAAAGAAGCAGGGTACAACATCAAAATACAAAAAATCAGTTGAGATTCTCTATACTAATAAGAACAAGTCTGAAAAGGCAATTAAGATAGCAATACCATTTACAATGTCCACCTAAAAGGTTAAATTTTTTGTTATTAAGTGCTGTTGAGTCAGTTCTGACCCATAGCAACCCTGTATAAGATTTCCAAGGAATGGCTCGAGTTTGAACCACCAATCTTGAGGTTCAAACTGACTTTGCATTCCAGCGCATTAACCCACAGTGTCACACTAGGACTCCAAAAAATTAAATACTTAGGAATAAATCTAACCAGAGAAACAAAAGACCTTTACAAAGAAAACTACAAAACACTACTCCAAGACACCAAAAGAGATTTACAAAAATGAAGATCATACTATGCTCATAGATGGGAAGACTAAACATTGTGAAAATGTTAGTACTACCCAAAGAAATCTATAGATGAATGCAGTGTCAATCTAGATACCAAAGCATTCTTTAAAAGAGATGGTGTGATAGTTAAGGTTCTCTATCAACTTGATTGAGCCAGGATTCCCAGTTGTTTGGTAGTTGATATTTAACTATATGATGACTGGCTCTGAGTAGCCAATCAATTGAAAGGATGCTTCCTTCAGCATATGGTCTGCTTCCAATAGAATGGACACACGAGTATATCTCGCTCCTTTTCCTGGTCAATCTGGATCTTGCATCTGGGTCGTCCTCCAATCTCTGTCCTCCAATGGATCAGTGACCTGATCTATTGTGTGTTTGCCTCCTGGGCCTGCCCACCAAGTGTGCCTGAAAAATTGAATGCCAATGTTTCTGTTGCCCTGGTTCATGTGCTCCACACTGCAAGTTGTGCATCATGCCTACTCAGGCCTTGGTCACCTGTCATCCTGCTGCTGTCCCTGCTCCAGTGCCACAGTCCTGCTCTGTGCCCAACTTAGAATTCCTGCCTTCCAAGTGCACCCACTGACCTTGGTTAACCTGGTGCTGCAGTCCTGCTTTGTGCCCACACTTGTGACTCCTGCTTTCTGGGCCAGCCCGCTGATTTTGTTTCACCTGGCCTGTACTTGGGACTCTCCTATGTCCACAATTTTGAGCCATTTTCTTGATAGAAACTTCTATTTGTTATTTTTGTTGATAAGTGCCATAGAGTTGGTTCCAACTCATAGTGACCCTGCATAGGTTTCTGATGAGTGGCTAGTGAGCTTGAACCGCTAACCTTGCAGTTCAAACTGACTTTACAGTCCAGCACACTAACCCACAGCACCATACCACTTCTCTATTCCTAATGAAACAAAAAATAAAACAACAAATACTGATGAGGATTTGGAGACCCTGGCCCCCTCCTACATTGCTAGTGTGATTGTAAAATGTTTCAACCACTCTGGAAAATGATATGGTATTCTTCAGAAAGTTGGAAATAGAACTATCTAATGACCCAGCAATCCCGCTACTTGGTATATATTCACAAGAAATATTTGCCAAAAGGCAAGTAGAGATATACACAAACCAATGTCTGAAGCACTATTCACAATAGCAAAAAGATGGAAATGGGCTATGTGCCCAGCAATGGAAAACTGGATAAGCAAACTGGTACATACACAAAATGGAATACTATGCAGCCTCGAAGAATAATGATGAATCTATGAAACACCACAGAACAGGGATGAAAACAATGTTAAGATGAAGAACCTGGAGAACATGAGGCTGAATGAAATTGGTCAATAACAAAAGGACAAATAATATATGAGACCATGATTGTAAAAGCTTAAGAAAATTTCCATACTAAAAGAAACATTCTTTGCTGGATAACAGGGGTGGGAGAAAAGAAAGAGTAGTTCACTAGCCAAAGAGTAGACGCATGTTAGTTCAGGTGGTGGAAAGGGAAATATAAGAAGTGGGAGGATAATATACAGAAGAGAGAGGATGGCAGAAGAATAATCAAGGCAGGTGAAGACACAGGGATGTATGCATGGGCAAAAGGGGATAGAGGTAAGTGATCTCTCTATATATGCAGTATTGGAACAAAAGTGACCTGTGGATAGATGCATGGATTGAGACATAGAAAGGAACTTACCCTCAGTCCAATTTTCAGCCAAGCAGTAGATATGTTTACCAGGCTGGACAATAACACTAGTAAGGTATGCTCATCATGGAATGGTCAGTCATTCAAAAATCAGTAGGGCAACATTTTCCTAAGGACAAAGTTGAGAAGGGGTAGAATTCAAATACGAATCACAGGGAGAAATTGGGGGTAAATATTGTTGCATAGAAGGGAATGTAGTCACTGAGATAAAATGAAGCATATGATTTGTTGAATGTTAAACTGATGGTCTTGTCTGGGAACCTTCACTCAATTCATAATGCAGCTCAAAAAAATAAAATTAAAATGAAAAGATAATGGAATTTTTCCATGAACTGTTTGAAGCCCATCTGGTGTGGCTCTGTAGGTAAGCACTGGAGTGGTAACCATAAGATAGGTAATTCAAGTCCACCAGCTGCTCTGGGAAAGCCTACACAGATTCACTCTGAGTCGGAACAGACTCGTGGAAAATAACCATAGCATACATATACTTCAAAAACATGTATATATCACATTTATTAAATAACATATAGAGTCCTATTGTGGCACTGTGGGTTAATGTGCCAGACTGCAAAGCCATTTGAACTACAGGGTCAGTGGTTCAAGCTCACCAGCTGCTCCTCAGAAACCCTATACAGGATCGCTATGGGTCAGAACCAACGCAATGGCATGTAATTATAACAGTGTAAAATCATAACATGTGTATATACTTAAAACATACAACAGAAAATTAAATATGTGATTTCCTATAGATGAAAAATAATTAAATATTTTATTCATGACAGTTTATGTGACTTTGCTCCCTTTTACAGCATGAAGGTATCATTGATGATGTTTACAAAACTCTAATGGAAAGATTAAAAAAGAAAAGAGCTACAGCATTAGCATCTCTTTTCACAGATTTTACTTGGACAAATATGATGGAAAAGGTATTCAAAATTTATAAACCTCTATTTTGAGGTATTTTTTTTTAATTATATAAAAGTTGTCAAAATAGTACTTATCCTGTATTCCTTTCACTAAGCTTCCCCTAATGTCAACTTCTTACATGACAGTGGTACCTTGATCAAAATCAGGACAGTAACATTATCTAATTATAAAATACTATTAACAAATCTTCAGTATCCATTTAAACTACACTTGCTTTTCCACTAATGTCCTTTTCCTATTTCAGAAACCTCTTCAAGATTCCACTTGCAGTTAGTTGTTATTTATCTTTGTTCTTCGCCTACCTCTAACAGAGTCTCAGACTTTTTCTTTTATGATCTTGATACCTTTGAAGAGTATTGGTCATTTCTTATTGTAATGTTCCTCAATTTGGGCTTGTCTGATCTTTTCTTATGATTGGAATGAGGTTATTCATTTTATGCAAGAATGCCACAGATTTGAGACTGTGTCCTCAGTGACTTATATTAAGGAATTCATAATGTATTAATATATTTTATTACTCTTTATGGCATATTTAAGGTTCCAACTTTCTGGGATCCCTGGTGATGCAGTAGTTAAACACTGGGTTGCTAACCACAGGGTGAACAGTTTGAATCTACCAGCTGCTCAGAGGGAGAAAGATGAGGCAACTGCTTCCACAGAGATTTACAATTTTGGAAAACTTATGGAGCAGTTTTGCTCTGTCCAATGGTAGTGAGTTTTTTGGTTAGCAAACTTTCTCTGCTGTACAATCACTGCTTTTTAAAAAATTTCCCTGCTTTTAAAAAAATTGAAGTCTTGTCTCCTGACAATTGTTGTGTTAGAGTCCATTGTTGCTGCCACTGTGCCAATCCATCTTGTTGAGGTCTTCCTCTTTTTCCTTGATCCTCTACTTGCCAAGCATGATGTCCCTTTTTCAGGAACTGTTCTCCCCTGACAACATATCCAAAGTACTTGAGATGAAGTCTCCACACCCATGATTCTAAGGAGCATTCTGGGTATATTTCTTCCAACACAGATTTGTTCATTCTTCTACCATTCCATAATATAATTAAATTTTTTTCACCAACATCGTAAGTCAAAGGCATCAATTCTTCTTTCTTCTTCCCTAACCACTGTCCAGGTTTCACATGTTTATGAGGAAATTGAAAATTGTGGTCTTGTAGGATAAACACTGGACAGTTAACTACACAGTTGGTGCTTCAAACCCACCAGCTATTCCTTGGAAACCCTATGCAGGGTTGCTAGGAGTCAGAACTGACTCCACAGCACTTTGCAACAATTAAGATTTATTTTGCTTTATAGTTGATATTATTGTTTTTTTTTTGTTTTTTGTTTTTGTGTGTGTGTGTGTGGTGCTGACAATTCTCAGTTATTTGTGAATCATTTTATTTTCTTATGTTTTGATTTCTGTACTCCTGTGGGCATTTTCTTTCATTTTATTAATTTCTGTGGTAGTGAAATGTGTTACAATATTCCTAATTTAATGATGCCCTTTCTTGCGTGTCTAGAAAAGTCTAACAGAATCCAGGTACAACTGGCTTGGGTTTCTGTTGTTTATTTTGACAGTAGGTGAGGAGTTTTCATTTCTCTTTTCTGATTGTTTCTTTTGTCTTTCGTAGTGCTAAATACTCTCCTTTGTTTTTTCCTCCCCCTCACCACACTTCCTTAGGCTACAAATGCCTTCCCCACTGCCCACCATAGCTGTACATTTAAAAAATTGTTTCTTTAAATAAGTCTTATCTAGATTGGAAGCCAGCAGTGTCTCCAAGGGAGAAAAGACCTGGTTGTCTGCTCTCTTAAATATTGCAGCCTAGGAAAACGTGTGGAATAGCTCTACTCTAGGCAATAGAGTCGATATGAGTTGGCATTGATCTAATTATACAAAATAATAACCGCATCCTTTTAAGTCATATTTGCCTTTTAAAGTTGAGTCTTGGCCCTTTAAATCATGTGTTTGCTCTTTGTATGTTATCTGTTTCCTGAAATCGTGTTTGCTTGGTAACTTTAAATTGTATGTGCATTGAAATTCCTTTCCTGTAGTCTGTGCTATATTGTACTTGGTTCCTTTTAAAATATTTTTTGGACTTAGGGTAGCTTTAATCTTTCTAGTAGTTATTCCAATTCCCTTTTTGTCAATGTTCCTCATCCATGGTTCCTACAGTTTTTTCAATCTCTCTTTGACTATTACAAAGCCTTGAAATGAGGCAGGAATATGAGGGTTGCAGAGCTGGACTTTGTTGATTATTTATTGTACACAATTAATTTATACTATCACTATTCTCTCTAAGCAAATAATTTGCTATAATAAAAATATTTTATGTAGTTTGTGATGGAGTTTTGAGGAAGTTAATTACATTAGACTCTTACCTTCAACTATTTACAGTTCATACAAACTTGGTACATATGTATGCTTTTTATATACTTATGTGTACATATATGCATATATGTTGTTGTTGCTGTTAGGTGCTATCGAGTCGGTACCAACTCATAGCGACCTTATGCACTTCTCCAGTGACTGGTCCCTCCTGACAATATGGCTGAAGCATGAGAGACGAATTTTGGGCCATCTTTGTCTCCGAGGAGCACTCTGGCTGCATTTCTTCCAACATAGATCTGTTTGTTCTTTTGACAGTCCATGGTACTTTCTATATACTCCTCCAACACCATAACTCAATGCATCAGTTCTTTTGCAGTCTTCCTTATTCACTGTCCAATTTTCACATGCATATGAGGTTATTGAAAACACCATGGCTTAAATCTCTGTATACATTCTGTAGTATTTACTTGGACTAGATATCTAGAACTTAAATAGTCAATCAAAAAGTCTCAACATAGGTAATGTTAGTCATACTTATTGTCAAATAATTTTACTGTGAGTTTGTACCTATTAATGCTATCATTTGTAAAGTGTAAAAGAAGAGACTCACTATATTATTTTTATTGCTCTAATTAAAATACTCTGTTTACATGAAAATAAAAATATGTAACATTTTTATTGTATTGTTATAGGGAATGGAATTTACTTTCTCTTTTATTAATATTTATATTTATTTCTAATTATTTTCTCATGCTTTGTATTATTAATCATTTCTATTGATTTATAAGAGCTCTTTACATGTTTAAATTTTAATGGATTCATTGACACAATTGTAATCATTTTTCCATTTAAAAATTTTGTGCATCATTTTCAACAGAAATATTTACAGTTCTACGTAGTCAAAATTTTCTATTTGTTATTTATGGCGTCTTTAAATAAGATCACTTATATTTTTCTTGGTATTTATGTTGGGTCTTTGATAATGCAATTTTCCCATCGTTCTCTTCCAGTTCTACTTTTTGTACTATTCTTCTAGTTATACTATTTTCTCTACTATTATTTCTACTATTTTCTACATAGCATGTGACATTTGAAAATTTTTCTCTGTGACAGGCATGTAAGAATATTTCTCTGCTTATGCAACTCTGGCCAGAAGGATCTGATATCCGGCGTGTTCTTTGTGTTTCTTCATGCTCACTGACTTTGAGTATGTACCATCGTTTTTTGGAAAACAGAAAGAAGACTGCCTCAGGCCAGGTAACTAACCTACAGTAGATGTGTTTAGGTGCAATGTAATGGCTCCCCACTTTTTAAATTTTGTTGATTTTCTTCTATTATTTTTCCTGTTTAGTACTTAATCATCTATTTCTCTAGTTCAGATAAATTTTCAAAAATAAGGGGAAAGCCCCTAGAATATGTGCTTTTAAGAAAATATCTATTGCACTGCTATATTATTTAATATTTTGCTATACAGATACTTTACCTTATGTTTCATTTGGTATAGTTTAATTTCATTTTCCAATAAATAAATAAAAAAGAATAGAAAAGAAAGTATCACTTATTGGGTAGTTGAGCACCTAGTACATTCCTATTTCTGGGTTCTTTATATGCATTAGGCCATTAAATCCTTAAACTGTATTTCAGTAGATGTATTGTTGTTCCTGTTTTACAGATGGAAACACTGTGTCTTGGCAGATAACAACATTCCTTCAATCATAGGTAGAAAATTGCAATCTGTACTGAACCCAGTTCTGTCTCACAAGCTATCTTTAAAATGAAAACATTCTTGCTCTAGTATCTTAGTGTCATTCCAGAATTACTAAATTTCATAGGCTTCTTTTTGTCTAATGGGATACATGAAGAATCTATTGACTAGTATGGATTCTCTCTCCAACTAAATATTCGTTCTTGCATACATGTGCATATACACATAGACAGACACACTCATGAGTACACTTACTATTCTGTATACAAACTGAGTGCAGAGAGAATCTTAGCTGAAGATTACTATTTTTCAAAAACTGAAGTTTTGTCCCTTTATTCCACAACTTCAGAATTAGACTGGACTCATCTTTTTTTTTTCTCTAGCTTCTTATGTATTTGGTTTTCCAGTGTCTGCAGTAATTTTTTTTTAGTGAAACACTTCTACATGATTGTTGTTGCTTTTAAGTGCTGAATGGGTTCCAACTCATAACAGCCCTACAAAGGGTTTTTGAGAACACCAACCTTGTAGTTCAAACTAACCTTGCTGTCCAAAGCATTATCCTACATCATTATACCTGGACTCTACATGATTTTTTAAAATTGCATTCCATTTTTAATTGCCCTCATATAAAATGATACTAAACCAAATCTATCTCTGTGAAACTTCTAATCATTGGACCCTGTTTGGCATGCTAAAGATTATCTGTGTAAATCGTAGTTTCTGACTAAGTCACTGACAAACCTGCTGCATGCATTTAAAAACAGCTATGGCGTCTTTGTCACATGAAGTGAAATATACCCACTGATTTTCCTTTTTTTCTCATTGAACATTGTCTTCAGGTATGATACAACACTAGTTATCTCACACTGATAATTTTAACTACACTTTTAAAATAGAATGCACCATATGGAATAGAGCTTTTAATTTGTGTACCACGAGTTTCTTAGCTACTTGGCTAGATCATTTAAGTTTGGGTTAACAAAAACTTCAGAAAAATGCATAATATGAATTGCTGGTTGGCTGGAAGTTTCCCCTTTCTTTTCCACCACTTTTGTATAAATGCGGGTTTATAGATAGACAGATAGATAGATAGATAGATAGATAGATAGGTAGATAGATAGACAGATAAAGAGGGCTTTCTTAAAAGTGTAGACTGAAGAATATAATAGTAAATGATTCCATATAATAAAATGTGACTGCCCACTTTTATTTTGCTGCCTGCATTATGGTATCTCACAACCTGTTCTCTGGCATACCTTCTGTGTTTTATTCAGGTGGACAGCAATTGCTTAGTCCTGCAGGAGGTGGAAGATTTGTGTAGAATGCATTGCCTCAGTGTGGCTTTTCTACTCCACTTACCTCTTTCTCAAAGAGCTTGTGCTAGATTCATTACTTCCCATTGGATTAAGGACACTCGTACTTTCTTTAAAATGGTAACTATATTAATTAGTTTTTTGTTTGATGTTGGTTTATTTCAGTGTTTTGATATATAAAAAGCACAGCAACCTTCAAGAGTTGATTTGTATTGGAACAATTTTAGCCCTCTTGGAAACTTAAGGTTCCATGGTCTAAATCAATCCCTTTCTGCTTTTTAATGTCCATGTTTGGTAATAATTTTTAAAAACCTAACTTATAGAGAAAAGAAGTAGCCCTGGTGGCACAGTAGCTTAAGCATTCTTCTACTTACTGTTTTATAAGAAATTATATACAGTCTGTTTATGTAAAGATTTACAGCCTTGAAAATCCTATGGGACACTTCCACTCTGCTCTATAGGTTTGCTTTAAGTCAAAATCCTCTTCCCAGAGGTGAATTTTTTTTTTTTTTTTTTTTTTTTTCTGTAAGCGGGATTCTCATTTTATCTTCCTCAAATATCTAACATGACTAGGTTTTTGGTCACCAGCTATAGAAGGTTTGTTGATGGTTATTTTGTTCTGTTTTTGAGAGGAACTGAAGAAAACAGTAAACAAGGGTGATTCAAAAAGTTCACAGGAAAATGGAGTTGAAGGATAATGGAATTTTTCTAGGAACTTTCTGGATCCTCATCATATTTACATTGTTTCTTTATAAAAAATAATCAGAAAAATATGGAAACTTTAAGAAAATAGAAAACAAAAATTAGAAACTTAGATCCGTTATTATAGTGACTATTGTTGTTGTTGTTGTTGTTGTTGTTAAGTGCCGTCGAGTCGGTTCCAACCCATAGCGACCCTGTACAGGGCTTCCGAGGCTGTAAATCTTTACGGGAGAAGAAAGCCTCATCTTTCTCCCGCGGAGCGGCTGGTAGTTTTGAACTACTGACCTTGCAGTTCGCAGCCCAATTCGTAACCACTATGCTACCAGAGTTTTAGTTATTTTAAATGCATAGATCTTGCTGTTTTCATTGTTCCTTCCATTTAAACAATTATCCTAAATATATTGTATATAAATATATCCGTTTTCTACTTTCTTTTACATTCTTATGAAAGATTTTTTTTTTTTCTTTTTATGACGATAATTATCTTTTGGTATGTATACTATGGTTTGCTTACCTATTTCCCTATTGTTTATGAAGAGGACTTCAATTGTAGTATAAATGCTACTGTGCTCTAGGATGTTAATAAGACTTACTTTTAATTTTGGATATTGATATAGGCTCAATCTCAGGAATGGTATTAATAGATTTATCAACACGTGTTTTTTTTAAATATTGCTGTATGTCATCAGAATACTCAAGAAAAACATTTATAACAGCAGGTAGATTTCCTGCCTACATGCCTGGTACTAAGCACTGGGAAAACAGTGATAAAACCAAAGATATATTTATTCTTCTCACCCCATCCCCTTCATGGAGTTACATTTTGCAGGGAAGATACCTACTGGATTTTAAAAATCATTATGAAGGTGTTGTTTGACTTCAGAATCTAATAATAAAAAGATCCAATCCAGTCTTGAAAGAATGTCTTTGTGAGAACTGAAGAGAAGTGAAGTGATCTAATCCTGAAAGATAAGCAGGAGTTAGCTAGGTAGAGAGAAAATGCAAATTGAATTTTCAACAATTAAACAAAGCAGTGCATATTAACATTCTGAGGATGTCATGAACAAAGAAATGAGATACATAACTGAAATGGTGACAATATAGGGAGAGTAATGAAGCCAAAAGCAGGCAAGAGATAAATCATATAAAGCAGTATGGTGGTGGTGGTGGTGGTGGTGGTGGTGGTGGTTGTGTGCCACTGATTTGGTTTTGACTCATAGCAACTCTATATAGGGTTTCCAAGGCTGTAAATCTGTATGTGAGCAGAAAGCCTCATCTTTCTTCCACAGAGCAACCAATAGATTCTAATTGTTGACCTTACGGTTAGTAGCTCAGCTCATAATCCATTACAGTGCCAGGGCTCCTTTATAAAGGAGTATAGGGACAAGAATATTTAATAGAGCTTCCAGATTAAGACCAATTAGGAAGAAGGAGAGACAGACTACTTCTGAATGGTTAGTTACAGAAAACCATATGAATAGCAGTAGAATGTTGTCAGATATAGTGTTGGAAGATGATCCCTCAGGTTGGAAGGCACTCAAAATAACACTAAGGAAGAGGTGCCTCCTCAAAATAGAGTTGACCATGATGACATGAATGGAACAAAGTTTTCAGGATCTTCATTAGTTGATGTGGTACAACTCAAAATGAGAAGAAATGTCTGTAAACATTAATAAATTATTGGAGCCTGAAATGGGTGAAGTATTAATCTAGAAAAACTGGAAGTAGTCAAAAATGAAATGGAATACACAAAGATGGATATTCTAGGCATTGTGATTAATAATGAGTTGTTTCTAACTCAGTGACACTGTATAGGGTTTCTGAGGAGTAACTGGTAGATTTGAACCACCAACCCTGCAACTAGCAGGCCAGTGGTTATCTACAGAGCCTTACCTAGACTCCATCCTAGGCATCAATGAGCTGAAATGGGCTGGTATTGGTCATTCTGACCATCATAGTGTTTGCTATCTTGGGAAAATCAAATTGAAGAGGAATGGCATTGCATTCACTGTCTAAAAGAACATTTCAAGATCTATCTTGAAGTACATTATTGTTGGTGATAGGATAATATCCACGCACCTGCAAAGAAGACCTGAGTTCTGATGTGGCACTGTAGGATATGCACTGAACTGCAAGGTTGTTTTAACTGCAACATTGGTTGTTCAAACTCACTAGCCACTCCTTGGAAACCCTATACAGATCACTAAGAATTGAAACCAACTCAATGACACTTAACTACACCACCAACAACAAGTAAGACTAGTTTAATACCACTATTATTCAAAGTAATATACCAAACATTAAAGTCAGTGATGACGAAACTGAAGAATTCAACCAACTTCTTCAGTCTAAAATTAATCAAACATATAAAAATTAAGATGTGTTGATAATTACTGAAAGTTGGAAACAAAGAGGAAGGATCAGTAGTTGGAAAACATGGCCTTGGTGATAGAAATGATGCTAGAGATCACATGATAGAATTTTGCAACACCAATGACTTATTCATTGTAGATACCTTTTTAAAACAATGATTAGATTTTTTAAAAAAGATGACTACACACGGATGGACCTCACCATTTGGAAAACACAGAAATAAAATCAACTACATCTCTGGGAAGAGATGTGGGAAAGTTCAATATCTCTCATAATGTGGACATGTTGTCAGGAGGGACCAGTCCCTGGAGACGAACATGATGCTTGGTAAAATGGAAGGTCAGTGAAAAAGGGGAAAATCCCCAATGAAATGGGTTGTAATAATGGCAGCAGCAATGGATTAAAACATAACAATTGAGAGGATGGTGTTGAATGGGTCAGTGTTTGCTTCTGTTGTACATGCGGTCCTATTGAGTCGGAACTGACTTGAGTGCACCTAACAACATCAAAGTGACTTTTTTTTTTTTTTTTTCACCTCCTCCTTTATTTTTTAATGAAAAGATGCCAGGGGCTAGATTCCAGAGAATTCGTTATTTTTTTTTTTTTTCCCGTAAAGACAAGGTAAATTTTAGTGATAAAATTAGAAAATCACAAAGGAAAAACATGCTCATATTCTGCATGGTGAATGAAATTAGGTTAAAATTCAAGCTTCAAGCTGAAATATTGAAGGACACTATTAACCAAAGTTAAATAACACAGAAAACCTCTAAAGATGATGGCAGAAATTTGTTGTTAGATATCTTCAAGTCAGTCCCAAATCATAATGACCCTCACTTTATACAATAGTGCCCAGTCCCACACAACTGTTGTTACTTTTCAGACCATTATTTTGGCCACTGTATCAATCTATCTCCTTGGGCATTTTCCTATCTTTCACTGACCCTCCATTTCACCAAACATGATGTCTTTCTCCATTTACTGGTCCCTCTGTATAACATGTCCAAATGAGAGAGAGAAAGTCTATTTATAAGGATTTTTGTTTTCTTTTCATTGAGTTTTAATCCTTACTAAAGACTGTAGTCTTTGATCTTCATCCATAAATATGTTGTCTTATTTTCTTCAGGCAAGCAAATGAGTCTTCCTCCAGTCCTAATGCCACATTCTTCGTCATACAATCTAGGTTTATACAGTATTTGATTACCATACAGATAACAAACTGACTTTCATCTTTCTCCATATGACAGGTGGTAATAGTAGGGCTTAAGGATGTGGTGAGTACGTATGAATAGGAATGGGTAGGTTCAGGAGTTTCTTAATGTGTAGAAATTACAAGTTACTGACTGAGTGTGGGACATTAGCAAATGAAATAAGTCAGTTTGACCCCAGGTTTTATACATTTGTGTGAATCCCACCATTGGAGCAAAGGTACCTTTAAACAAGATTATGAGCTCAGTTTTGTTGTTGTTGTTTTTGTTTTGTTTTGTTTTTTCCCCAGGGTAGAATTTTTATTTCAGTCTGTCAAAAGACCACAGGACTTGAAGGACCAAAACCTAGAAAGAAGGAAACATCATCAATGTAGACCTAAATTTCTGGGTGCTGTTCTTGTCCATTCTTGGCATGTGGCAAGAGGCCGAGAAAATAGGCAGAAAATGGCTGTTAAGATGGAGAGAAGCCAGTAGAGTTTTAGGAAAACTCACTGGGCTGAGAAGAAAAGTATTGGAAGTTAGAATTACCAAGGAATTCATGAATGAAAAATCAAGATAACAGAAGGATTTGTTATAAAAAGAAAGTTTGCTACTAGACATTAGGTTTTCTTCTACAAGGCATTTTCTAGAACAGTCATAAACCCAGAGATTTTGAGTAGAAGAAAACAATGACTGAGTTTTCAGTTGTCCCTCAGTCCTTGTTATTAGGTGCTATCATGTCAGCTCTGACAGACTAGGAAGAAGGAGTGACGAACTACTTCCAAACATTTAGTTGCTGAAAACCTTATGAGTAGTAGAGTCTCTTCTGATAACAAGCACAAAGTCTGTGAGATGGAGTCCCATCATCATTGCTTCTAAGGGACATACTGACTATACTTCCTCCGACACAGATTTGTTTGTTCTTCTGCCAGTCCATGGCACCCTAATGATTCTTTGCCAACACAGGTACTTCAAAAAAATATATTTTGCAACTTCTTTTAAATCACTGAAGTTTTTTCTTAATTTCTGCATTCTGGGTTTAGAATTTTTATTAAGTTCTCATTGACTGAGGTGCTGAGGCAGAAATCCAACAAGTCCTCTGTAATACAGCAATATAAGCAGACTTCTTGGATCCTGTAGATCCAAACCATGGCTAGCAAGCATTTGGCGCTGGTGCCCTTAACTTTCATTCCTAGAAAGAGGTTTTGTCTGATAGGCTGACTTTCCTTGCTTTGATGCATCTGAAGTTAAAAATGTATGAAGGTATTGGAGGTATTGAAACTGATACACCAAAGAGATATTCAAATATGCATTAGGAGTTTCAAAAGACATCTAGTTAGCTGTTTGAAAAACTGGTCTGAAGCTCACAAGAGTTAACATGGATTTTGAAAGAATTTTAAAATTTAAGAATCATTAGCCTATGGTTGAAAATTGATGCCATAGTAGTGGATGAAATTATTTTTGGAGAAAGGTATTATAAGAGGGCCAGAGAAAGAACCCTGGGATGTTCCAATGCTATTTAGCTAACTATAGATGGAAAAGTGGCAAAGGACCCAGAAAAGGAGCTTCTTAGATGAAGAGAAAAGCAAGGGAATCTCAAAAGGTGGGTGTGGTTAATGTATAGGGTGCTTTAGAGAATTGAAGGTCGAGGACTGAAATAATATATTAAATTTAACGGCACTGGGGTCACTAGTGGTCTTTATTGAGATATATTAGTGAATGGTGAGGAGCAAAATATATTGGAATAGTGAGTGGAAGGGAGAAAATAATGATCAACAGTTGTTTATGTATAAGCAGTAAGGAAGATAGATGAGACCGAGGATAAAGCTGATATGGAAAATGGGCCAGTTGAGATTGTTTGAAAATCACTCAAAGTTTGAACATATTTAAATGCTGATTTTAAAAATAGAGAGAGGAGAGGCTGGGAACATAGAAATTTAGGCAAGAGGGATGAAATCTAAAGTACAGTTTTATTTGGAGAAATAATATCTCTATTACAGTATTACATTTGTTAAGTGCCATTAAGTCTATTCCACCTCATAGCGACCCTGTGTAGGGTTTCTGGGGAGCTGCTGGTGGGATTAAACTTCTGACCTTGTGGTTTGCTGTCTAGCACTTCACCAAGAGTCCTGACTCTGTTATTTTTTGTTTGTTTGTTTTATTTTGTTTAAAGCTTTTATTGCAAATTTTGTGATTGTTTACATGGCAAAACATCTCAAGCAATCATATTTTACTTCATTGTAATGATTACAATCCCATCCATGAACCACCAATTAGCAGTATTTGCCTCTATTATCTCTTGTGTGTGTGTGTTTTTTTTTAATGTACACAATACACACAGAAATATACATATTCATTTAAAGAACCAAAGGGTACATTTTGCAAACTGGCCTCCTGCCTGCTGGCACATAGCCTTTCTCTCTCCATGGGTCTAGAGTCCTCAGCTGCTTTCTCTCTCCATGCCATCACCTCTGCCTCCGTCTCTGGTGTCACTGCTTCTCTGGTTAAGATCCCACGTTCTGCTCGTGCTCTCCCTTCTTGAGGTCTTAGGGTCCTCTGTTTCTGGAATGTAAGATTAACTACTCTTCCCTTTTTGTTACACATCTTCTACCTTTATAGTTGTGACAATCACGATTAGTCATGGTAACAATTACTTACTATTGAATCATAAGAATCTTATCCCCATCTCCTTTTACCAGACCCATCTAGATAAGCTGAAAACTATTTAGTGGGGATTCTACACTCTATGCCCCCTCACTCTGAAATTAAACTCACCTTTGAAACTAGTAAACTAAACACTTGTATCTTTATAGCCACCCCACACCAAATTTAGGTAGCCAGTGTCTAAATTGCCTGTCACTATCATCCCTATGTACTGAGGAGATAGACTTGATCCTTGATGTGAAGACTCCTTTCCTCTCACTATTTTGAGCAACCACATCCATAATAAGCAAAGATCAAGTTCATCAATTCTTCTATGGTCTACTTCATTCACTGTGAAGCTTTTGCGTGCATATGATGTTATTGAAAATACCCTGGATTGGGTCAGACATACCTTAGTCCTCAAGCTGACATCTTTGCTCTTCAACACTTTAAAAAGATCTTGTGCAGCATATTTGCCTCATACATCCAAAGTATGAGAGACAAAATCTCAACATCCTGGATTCCAAATAACATTATGTTTGCATTTCTTCCAATACAAATTTGTTTGTTCTTCTGAATGTCTATGGTACTTTTAATATTCTTCACCAACACCATAATTCAATTGCATCTATTCTTGTTTGGTCTTCCTTATTCATTGTCCAATTTTCACATGCATATGAAGTGATTGCACACAAGTGCCAGTTGGATGCCATTCTGTGAGTTTGGAAGATTTATCATGTTCTAGATCACTGAATCTAAACAATCCAAATTGCTTTTAGAATACAAAAATAAGAAAGCTTTTTTGACCTGAAAGGGACAAACCAACCCGGTGCCACTCATCAACCACACTGCACACCAGACGGCCCTTCTAGAAACTTTTATTCAGGGTTAGGAAGAGGAAGGTGACCTCTGCCAGAGAGAGCGGGCAGAAGGCAGAAAGAAGAGAGAGAAGAAGAGCAGGCAGAGGGCAGAAAGAAGAGACGATCAACGGGAAGGGAGTGGTCTTATATAGGTTCAACAGGAAGGGAGTGGTCATGGCTAAGGTGATTCAGCTGTGGCCTATCAAAAGCCATGTTGCCCTTTAAATTATGTGCCTTGTAGTTTAGGGTGGGGAAACAGAAACCTAAGATTACAAAATGGAGTTGAAGGGAGGGGAGAGGGAAAAACCTGGAAGGTACAACCTAAAATGGCGGACCTGATATTGTAACATGACCTAAAAAATGGAAAAACATTAAAAGTTAAGTAAAGAGATCAGAGGCACATATGAAAGTGTATTTCTGTGGTATTCAGACTGTATCTGTGGATAACTGTGTAAGAGAAAAAGTTTACTAAGAGTAAAATACTGATATCCGTGATTTACAAAATAAAACACAAAATTTGTTGTTCAGTTGTTATTTTATGTTATACTTTAATCTTTTAAGCCATAAAACTTTCATTACCCAACGTGTGTGGGGTTCCATTAATAAGTAATGTAACAGCCCTTCCAACTTTACTTTCTATTGAAAATATGTATATGAAATAGTTCTATGGTTTACTACTAATATGAAAGCTGTCAATAACTTGGGCTTATTTTCAATTTTCAGAAAAAGTGGTGTGAGAATTTTATACTAAGTAATATAAACATTTTTAAGAATTTGAATTTAACTTACCTTTCTGACTTAAGTGATGAGCCTTTGCTGAAGAATATTGCTTTTTACTATGAAAATGAACATGTTCAAGGTACAATTCTATGAAATTTATTCTTCTTTCTTTGAATTATATCTTTAGAATGTATTTTCTGGTGTTTCTTAATAGACAAGGGCAAATAAAACACATTTCCATATAAATATTACTGGTTGTGCATTATTGAAGAGGTTTTGTGTTTAATCTAGGATTTGATTCCTTCATTGTTGTTAAGTCGAGTCAAGTCTGATACTAGCGACCCAGTATAGGGTTACCGAGGAGTGACTGGTGACTTTGAACTGCCAACCTTGTGATTTAAATTGACCTTGCAGTTTAAATCACAAGGACTCCATTATCTACCTGTACATTTATCAGTCTTCTATAAATTGTCTAGGTTCTCAAGAATCATTGTTTTTATTGCTTCATTGATTGTAAAATCATATATGGTTAACATTTTGATTACCTTAAAGGATATTCAACTATTTGTATTAGTAGCTGATATGCCCTGGTGACGAAGTTCTGCTCTGTCCTGTAGGGTCACAGCAAGTCTAAATTAAATGGACAGCAATGGATTTCATTTGGTTATTGCTTGCTAGGGTCCCTGGTTGCCACAAACAATTAAGTTCTCCACTACTAACCAAAAGTTTGGCAGTCTGAACTCACACAGAGATACCTCAAAAGATAGGCCTTGAAAAACCTTCTACATTGTACAGATGGAGTCACTGTGAGTTAGGATCAAAGCAATTAGCAGTGTTTTTAGTTAAGATAGTTATAATTTTAAAACTCAGTTACTAAATATGAAAATGAGATGCATTTTTAAAACACTAATGACAATTTTTATTTAGATGAAGCATAGAACTCATTGAAAATTCACCATTTGACTCATTTTAGTTGTGAATTTAGTCAAACTGTGTATATGTGTGAAGGAATTTTAATATTTGGTATTTTTTATTGTTATGTAGGACTACATTTGAATTTGGGAGATGTCATTGCACAGGATTATGAATATCTCTGGAATACTGTGTCAAACTTGGTCAAAGAGTTTGAAGTTGGAAAGCCACTTCCTCTGCGAACAACAAAACTTCATTTCCTCAGAAAGAATCCTTTACCTATTAAAGGTAATAAGTCACCAAGTTAATTTGAAATAAAAGTATTCTCCTCCTGAAAACATTTTTTAAACACCAACAACTCAATGCTAAAAGCATAGTTCACATTTGGTAACATGCATACCAATACAAAATATAAATTTCCTTTATTATAATGTTTTTGATTATATTATGTTGTAACTATGATTTTTAAGATTTATATTTTGTTTGTAATTACTGTGTTGTTGACAGTTTTTAATGAAAACCAGCTAGCTATATGTGGCTTCCATTAGCAGAACTATGGCCACATAGATAAACTGGAAAATTTGTTTATGTAAAACTTAAAATTCTGGATAAGAGACACCAAATATCATTTTGTATGATTATATGTAAGCTCAAAACAATGTAAGGAAATCTCAGGGACAAAAAAGGCAAAAGGAGTCAGAAGCCTAAATGAAAATCAACATGGCTGTAATAAGGAACATTTGTTTCTCAATGATTCTGACATTTGTATCCTAACTGCCCTGGGCAGGGACAGGGGACAAGGCCAAAGAGGCACATGGTATTGAACTAAGCCACCTGCACAGAGCCAGAATTTTTAGGAGTATGCAAAAAACACCAAATCCCACAAAGTCTGCTTTCCAGCATAAGAAGACTACAAAATTATCCCTCTGGTCCTGGTCTCTGATGGATCAAAATAAATCTAAGAATCGGTAACCATGGGGGGGCCCCACTCTCCCAAATTCAAGGGTTCAAATTTGTCGTGTAGTAGGATAAGGCATTGGACTGTAAAGTCAGTTATTCAAACCCACCAGCCACTCCTCGGAATTGACTCAACAGTGCTTAACAACACCAACAACATAGCTAGGGAAAGATAACTTAATGTAATCAAAGGGATCTGACAATTTCTCTGTAGAAGACTATACCATAAAGCATGGATTTACAGGTTTCCCATAGATACACAGCCATCAAGATGATTCTGACTCATCAAACCTGTAGAACAAAATAAAACTTCCCCAGGGTTTCTGAGACTATAAATCTTTATGGAAGCCTCATCTTTCTCTCAGCAAACAGTTGTTGGTCTCAGCTGACAACCTTTCAGTTAGCAGCCCAATTAGCTCACTCCTTCCATATAGTTCAAATACAAAATTATAAAGAAACCAAGGAAATAAAAGCACTAACAAAAACTGTAAGTACTTGAAGTACATCAGATTTTAGAATGATCACATGTAAAATATACAGTAAGTTTGTTTAAAATATCTAAAGAAATGCTATTTTAAAGCACAATAAAGGAACAGAATATTATAAAACATCAGTCACATTTTGAAATAACCAAATAGGCCTTCTAGAAGTGAAAAGATTTGTCAACAAATGGGTTAGTAAGCTATTTGGATATTGCTGAAGAGAAAATTTGTGAACTACCAGTAGTTCTATTTTACACTTAAAGATATATAAGTGTAACAAAATATGTAAGACAGATTAAAAGCTATGGAGTATATAATAAAAAAGTCTAACCATTTGGATACTCAGGAGAGAATGAACCACTCAGGGATGGTGGAGAGGAATTGGTCAATATATGAAGAAATAATATTCTGGCATTTTCCTGGATTTATGAAAGTCACGAATTTGTACCATCAGAGTGTATTATTAATTCCAAGTGGAAAAATATAAACATCTTCATAAATACATTTATAGACAAATACACACTCTATATAAAATTATGAATTTGTAAATTACCAATGATAAGCAAGTTTTTTAAACAATAGAATTACCTTCAAAAGAACAAAAGTTACTCCTATACCAAATTTCCTAATGACAATGATAGAACTTAGAATGGAATGGAGTTATGGAATGGAATGGAATAATTATATTCCTAAATATAATATAATTTATCATAATTTAAGTATGAAGTATGAAGAAGTGGACATTTTAAGAAAAAACAAGAATTGGTTATCAACCATCACAGCATCATTAAAGATACTTCAAGATGATAAATTTCAGTAAGAAGGATATTATTCTAAAAGGACTGTCAGAATACTACTGGGAACTTAGAATAAAAGTAAATTTTTCAGAATATAGAGGAAGTAGCTATATCTGTTTTCTTTTTGTCAGGATGGATTACATAAGACATTTCTGAAGGAAGTGTTATTGTTAGGTGCCATTGAGTTGGTTACAAATCATAGCGACCCTTTGTACAAACAGAACAAAGTACTATGAAGTCCTGCGCCATCCTTACAATTGTTATGTTTAAGCCCATTGTTGCTGTCACTGTGTCAATATAGTTGGAAGTCTTCCTCCTTTTCCTGACTTTCCACTTTACCAAACATGATGTTTTTCTTCAGGGACTGCTCCCTCCTGATAATATATCCAGTGAATAAAAGAGGAAGTCTCACCATCTGGCTTCTAAGGAGCATTCTCTCTGTTCTTTTTCCAAAACAGATTTGTTTGTTCTTTTGGCTGTCCATTGTGCTTTCAAATACCATTATTGTAATGCATCAATTCTCCTACTGCCTTCCTTATTAATTATCCTACTTTCTCCTGAATATGAGACAATTGAAAATACCATGACTTGGGTCAGGTGCACCTTAGGCCTCAAACGGATATCTTTACTCTTAAACTCTTTTAAAAGGTGGTTTATAGCATATTTGCCTAGTGCAATACACCATTTGATTTCTTAGCTGCTTTTTTCATAAGAGTTGATTGTGGATCTAAATAAAATGAAGTATTTGACACTTCAGTCTTTTCTCCAATTATGAGGTTATTTGTTGGTCTAGTTGTGAGGATTTTCATTTTCTTTACATTGAGATGCAATCCATACTGAAGACTGCAGTCTTTGGTCCTCATCATTAAGTATTTTAAGTCCTCTCTACTTTCAGCAAGAAAGGCTGTTGTTGTTAGGTGGTGTCAAATCAATTCCAATCCATTGAGACACAGTGTACAACAGAACAAAACACGGCCTGGTCTGGGCCATCCTCACAATTGCTGCTTGAGCGTGTTATTGCTACGACTGTGCCAATCCATCTCACTGGACAGTGATCTCCCTCTTTTTCATTGTCTGTCCACTTTACCAAGCATGGTGTCCTGTGCCATGGACTAGTCCCTCCTGATAAATTGTACAAAGTTCAAAAGATGAAGTCTGGTCATCTTACATTCTAAGGAGCATTGTGGCTACACTTCTTCCAAGACAGATTTGTTTGTTCTAGCCATCCATGTAACCTTTAATATGTTTTTGTTGTTGTTATGTGCTGTCAAATCAGTACCAATTCATAGTGACCCTGCATATGGTGTCTGAGGAGCAGCTGGTAGATTTGAACTGCAGACCTTGTAATTCATACAGACTGTACAGTCCAGTGCTTATCTTACAGTGCCACACCAGGACATGTTGTTGTCAAGTGCCGTCTAGTTGATTCTGACCCATAGCAAAAACACTCAGGAATATATTTAAGCAACCAAAGGGCACATTCTGCAAGTCTGCCTCCTGGCCACCAGCACACAGCCTTTCTCCTTTCATGAGTCTAGAGTCCTCAGCTGCTCTGTCTTTCCATGCCATCATCTCTGCCTCCATCTCTGGTGTCCTGCTTCGCTCTTCTCTCTTGATGGTCCTAGGGTCCCCTGTTCTTGAAATATAAGATTAACTACTCCTCCCCTCCCCCCTTTATGTTACAAAACTTCTGGGCTTTAAGATCAACCACTCCCCTCTTTTTGTTACAACACATCTACCTTTAAATTTGTAAGGATCACAATCAGTCCTGATAACGATTACTCACTATTGAACCAAAAGTCTTCTGTCACCAGAACTGTCTAGACAGGTTGAAAACTACTCAGTGGAGATTCTATCTTCCCCAACACCCTCTGAAACTAAACTCCCTCTTGAAAATTTGTAAGCCAGTCACTTCGGGCCTTTATAGCCTCCCCCACCCCCCACCTCTATTTTAGGTAGCCAGTGTCTAAGTTTCATACCATTTATTTTTTATTACAATTAGTTTGGTGTACATTTATTTATCCTTTAATTTTTAATCTGTTTTTGTCTTTGTGTATTAGTCAAGTCTCTTGGAGACAGCATATTGTAGGATCTTGTTTTCTTATCCATTCTGCCACACTCTATCATTTGATAGCTGCATTCAATCTATTGATGCTTAGTATAATTATCGATAGGTATGGATTCAATTGCTGACATTGTGTTGTTTGTGGGGTTTTTTGTGTGGTGCTGCTGGTTTCTTTGGTCCATATGCTAAGGTTGTTGTTTTTTTTAATGTTTTTTCTTGCCAATTTGTTCAGAGTGTTAATGTTTCGATACTAATTTTTGATATATATTTTTTTCTCAATTTGATGTGGAGATGTATTCAGTTTCTTTGAGGTTACTGTGTTCTTCTTTTTATGACACATTGTTTTATTCTGAGATCTACCTGACCTCCTCACTACCTGAGTCTCTGTTACTATACTTTCCCCTTCTTTTGCTTTATGTCTGTCTGTTTCATTGGCTGACCTCCCAAAACCTCTAATTTCAATTTTGAATTTTGTAGTTTTATTTTGACCTGGACTCTTCCATCTCTGTATTGAGGTCCAGGTAGTATTTCACATATGGCAGTTTTTGGTGGTTTTCTGGTCCTGTTGATTCTCAGTCCAAAGAACTCCCCTTAGTATGTTTTGGCATGCTGGTTTGGCCTTTACAAAATCCCTTAATTTCTATTTATCCTGGAATGTTTTTAATTCACTCTCATATTTGATTGACAGCTTTGTTGGGTTTATGATTCTTGGTTGGTAGTTTGTTTTTTTTTTAGAGTTTTGTATATATCTCCCCACTGTATTCTTGTCTGCATTGGTTCTGCTGAGTAATCAGAGAGTAATCTTATTTGCTTTCCTTTGTATGTAATATTTCTTTTTTCCTTAGCTGCTTTCAGGATTCTCTTCTTGTCTTAGGGTTTGGAAAGTTTGGTTATGATATGTCTTGATGATTTTCTTCTGGGGTTTATCTTTGCTGAGGTTTGTTCATGCTTATCTTCTTATCCTTCAAAATGTTAGACAAGTTCTCT